ATCCCTACCAGGAAGGAAGAAAAAGGACTAGGGAAATTCCTTCATTTTTGGAGTGTATGGGACAGAGAGTACACACACACCCATATATATATATATATTATATATATATATATATATATATAAAATATATATATATATATTATATATATATATATATATTATATATATATATATATATATATATATATATATATTATATTATATATATATATATATATATATATGGTTGTTAAGTGTTGGATTTGCGAAGAACCTGCCTACTTGCCTAGACCAGGAGGCCTTCTGTAATCTTCCTCAAAACTATGAGCTGTTGCTATATGGGATGACGATGGAGAGGTTTTCTGGCACGAGACTCGCCTGTGTTGTACAAGTCGTTGTTCTGTTGTGGGATCACTAGAAAATTTCTTGTTTTGCAGTTTGCTAAAGTAATGTAAGGAATTAACAACCTTCAGTGAAGTCGATTGGCTTTAAACCCAGTGAACCAATTAACCAGTGAACCAATCAACCAGTGAACCAATCAACCAGTGAACCAATCAACCAGTGAACCAATCAACCAGTGAACCAATCAACCAGTGAACCAATCAACCAACTAACAGCTCTTCTTGACTGAGGGTATGGAATTTTGGAGCTCTGAAACAGAACTTTGAAACTGAATGTTCTGGTGAGTGATGATTCTAAGATCCTGAGTCTCTCGGCTGTCTTCCTCCTTGGCAACGTTTCGAGCGTCCTTGTAATTAAATGTTTATGAGAGTTTCGGAGTAAAACGCAGGCGTTCCTCAAGTCGTCCGTTTTAATGGCGTATCTGTGTTCAGAAATGCGTGTGTGAAGGACTCTGGATATTTCACCAAGGTAAATTTTGACACAATCATTGCAAGAACATTTTCAAAACCAGGTAAAACCAAGAAATAGTTGAACAAGGTTCATAAAAAAGTTGGCTGGAACAGGAAGGTGGAGGAAGTAGTCAGTTTCTAAGCGCGGGAGATATCGATGTATTGTTTTGTGGGAACCTTGGAGAAAAATGACGTCACGTCTGGGCTGGACAGTTTCTTGAAAACGGTCCTGGGACCCTAAGCACCTTGACCACTTCAAGGTCGCAGGATCGAAACGTTTTCTAATAGTAATGTTCAGGTGTTTGCCTACCTGTATTTTAAATAATAGCGCTCATTGTGTGGGCGAAGGTCTGTCAATGCTGCATCGCATCGTGTCGGTATTGTATACCACTTCTCTCCATGACACAGGTATCATGATCCCAACATGACAAGTATTATTTATATAACATGATACAGGTATCGTGATCCCAACATATGTATCATGGATGTACATGACACAGATATCGTGATCCCAACACGACATGTATCATGGACGTAACATGACATGTATCATGGATGTAAAATGACATGTATCATGGATGTAAAATGACATGTATCACTGATGTAACATGACATGTATCATGGATGTATAATGACATGTATCACTGATGTAACATGACATGTATCATGGATGTATAATGACATGTATCACTGATGTAACATGACATGTATCATGGATGTATAATGACATGTATCACTGATGTAACATGACATGTATCATGGATGTAAAATGACATGTATCACTGATGTAACATGACATGTATCATGGATGTATAATGACATGTATCACTGACGTAACATGACATGTATCATGGATGTAACATGACATGTATCATGGATGTAACATGACATGTATCACTGATGTAACATGACATGTATCATGGATGTAACATTACATGTATCATGGATGTAACATGACATGTATCATGGATGTAACATGACATGTATCACTGATGTAACATGACATGTATCACTGATGTAACATGACATGTATCATGGATGTAACATTACATGTATCATGGATGTAACATGACAAGTATCACTGATGTAACATGACATGTATCACTGATGTAACATGACATGTATCATGGATGTAACATGACATGTATCACTGATGTAACATGACATGTATCACTGATGTAACATGACATGTATCATGGATGTAACATGACATGTATCATGGATGTAACATTACATGTATCATGGATGTAACATGACATGTATCATGGATGTAACATGACATGTATCATGGATGTAACATGACATGTATCACTGATGTAACATGACATGTATCATGATGTAACATGACATGTATCATGGATGTAACATTACATGTATCACTGATGTAACATGACATGTATCATGGATGTAACATGACATGTATCACTGATGTAACATGACATGTATCATGGATGTAACATGACATGTATCATGGATGTAACATGACATGTATCATGGATGTAACATTACATGTATCACTGACGTAACATGACATGTATCGCTGATGTAACATGACATGTATCACTGATGTAACATGACATGTATCATGGATGTAACATGACATGTATCACTGATGTAACATGACATGTATCATGGATGTAACATGACATGTATCACTGGATGTAACATGACATGTATCACTGATGTAACATGACATGTATCACTGATGTAACATGACATGTATCATGGATGTAACATGACATGTATCATGGATGTAACATTACATGTATCATGGATGTAACATGACATGTATCATGGATGTAACATGACATGTATCACTGATGTAACATGACATGTATCACTGATGTAACATGACATGTATCACTGATGTAACATGACATGTATCATGGATGTAACATGACATGTATCACTGATGTAACATGACATGTATCATGGATGTAACATGACATGTATCATGGATGTAACATGACATGTATCACTGATGTAACATGACATGTATCATGGATGTAACATTACATGTATCATGGATGTAACATGACATGTATCATGGATGTAACATGACATGTATCACTGATGTAACATGACATGTATCACTGATGTAACATGACATGTATCATGGATGTAACATTACATGTATCATGGATGTAACATGACATGTATCATGGATGTAACATGACATGTATCACTGATGTAACATGACATGTATCATGAATGTAACATTACATGTATCATGGATGTAACATGACATGTGTCATGGATGTAACATGACATGTATCATGGATTTAACATGACATGTATCATGGATGTAACATGACATGTATCATGGATGTAACATTACATGTATCATGGATGTAACATGACATGTATCATGGATGTAACATGACATGTATCATGGATGTAACATGACATGTATCACTGATGTAACATGACATGTATCACTGATGTAACATGGCATGTGTCATGGATGTAACATGACATGTATCACTGATGTAACATGACATGTATCACTGATGTAACATGACATGTATCACTGATGTAACATGACATGTATCACTGATGTAACATGACATGTATCACTGATGTAACATGACAAGTATCATGGATGTAACATGACATGTATCACTGATGTAACATGACATGTATCACTGATGTAACATGACATGTATCATGGATGTAACATGACATGTATCATGGATCATACCCCCGGCCGGGATTGAACCCGCGGTCATAGAGTCTCTATGACCGCGGGTTCAATCCCGGCCGGGGGTATGGTTTATTTGCAATCGTGTCATTACGATTTCTTAAGTCATGTATCATGGATGTAACATGACATGTATCATGGATGTAACATGACATGTATCATGGATGTAACATGATATATATCATTGATGTAACATGACATGTATCACTGATGTAACATGACACGCGTATCGTGAATATAAGCAGCATTTGCCTAGTACTAGTACCATTACTAGTACCAATGTGTGTTTGTATTAAAGAACCAGGAATAACTGGAGGGATAATAGTAATGTATCACGGAATACATAAGGATGAGGTCACACATAGTGATTGTCATGGATAATGTAGCAGGACGAACACAGGTGAACAGTAGAGGCCCACAGGGATCAGTGGTACCTCAGGGTGACTCCAGGAGTTACCGCTCCTGCGGCCCGGTCCCAGACCAGGTCTCTACAACCACTATATTTCGTGCTACAAGTAAATCAGGGATGACCGACTCTCTACAGAGATGACCGACTATCTTCAAAGATGACTGACTATCTTCAGAGATGACTGACTCTCTACAGAGATGACTGACTCTCTTCAGGGGTAACTAACTTTCTTCAGGGATGATAAAAAAAACATGAGATAAATACAAGTTGGAGAAGAGAAAGATGACCATGAGCCTTCTTGGACAAGCTACAAGAATGCTCATACAAATGGCTACTGGTGTTCAAGTTCAGTACTTGCCAAGTTACTGAAACTGGGGAATGAGCAAGACTCAAGAGTAACAAACACTGTGAGGACAGACGCGACAGAGGTCGAACAAGAGGAGAGGACGTGTAAGCAACACAGTGCATGCCGCATAAGACGCACATTGACCCAACAGCGACGACGTTGAAGAACGTAAATAAAACCTTCACAAACTTGCAGATAATGTGATAAAATGTAATTTTATTGCGAGTACGCAGCCCCAACATGGAGCCCGCACCTGGAAAAACACTGACACAAACCTAACAGCAAATATACTTTACATCACACAAGCAAGCAGAGTAATGTAGTGGAAGCAGAATCCATACACAGCTTTAAGAAGAGGTATGATAAAGCTCTTGGAGCAGAGAGAGAGTGGACATTACTATGTCCACTCTCTCCCCACACACCACACACACACACACACACACACACACCACACACACACACACACACACACACACACATACACACACACACACACACACACACACACACACACACACACACACACAGGGGGGTGCTAAATAACCGAGAATAAGCTGGATGAGGAAGTGGTGGCGGCAAAATCAATACACAATTTCAAGAACAGGTATGACAGGGCCTACGAGGCCAGACACTAACAATGCCAGCTAGTAGTTAAAGAAGCGGGGGCCAGGAGCCGAGACTCGACCCCCACGCAACAAACAGAGAAACACTCACTTGTAAACAGAGCGCTTGTCAGCCTCAAACTGCGCCTGGTCATGATAGCTGTGGTGGTCTGGTGGTAGTGGCTGTCCAGCCAGGCACTGATCGTGGGCGGTCTGGGCGGCGGGGTTGTGGGCGGGGGGCACTACTGGCTGTGGTGTGGGCGCCGTGGCACCCCCAACAGCTGCTGCTCCTGCAGAAGGGGGGCCCCCACCGCCCCCTCCCTGCTCGGGGTAACCAGCAGTCATCATGGTACCGGTACACGCAGTGTCACGCCCCTCCGGCCTATAACAACAATAATTATATATACATATATATATATAACTCAAAATAACTTAACAGTGCTATAACAGGATAATACATAATGTACAAGTATGATAAGTATAACAAATAGTATTTGTATAGTATTTGTATAGTACTACTAATACTACTACCACTACAACTAGTACTGCTAAAACTACTACTACTAGTAGTAGTAGTAATAGCAGTGGTGGTGGTAGTAGTAGTAGTAGTGGTGGTCATGGTAGTAGTAGAGGTAGTGATAGCAAAAGTAGTAATAATAATGGTGGAGTCAGCAGGGAGACCTGTGGCACACAGCAGCCATGTTCCCACACCAGTGTTGTCACGTGTTAAACAAACTCAGGGTTTAGGATGTAACTCAGGTGATAGCAGTGTAAATGATTATAAAGTATTTCAACACGCCAGTAGTTCTCCCGACAACAACTCAATCATCTGATACGTCACCTAACCATCTGAACTTTTAGCTTCTAGACTAAAAGAAAACAGCTGCCTACAACAAGAGGTTAAAATATTAGCTCATCGGACAAGAGAGGTTGAACTCCTTCCTTACTTCAGCCAAGATGAACAATTTGTATACTGCAATAACACACATGGACTTTTTCTTCCAATGGGACTTGATATAGACCAGGAGATAGCCGGCTGTTTAGAGACAGCTCCATTAAAAGCTTGATATATGTCTTACTGCACAATGGTAACCAATATGCTGAAGTCTCCTACGGTCCTCACTGTGCTGATCACCAACATACAAGAAAATCCTACAAAGTGCTAGTATGTATTACAGGATTTGACTTTTGTATGATCTAAACAATGATTTCAATGCGACTTATAAGTCACCCACCTGATCAATATATCTTTTACAACTTTTATGTTTTTTTTATGTATTTTTTATTTTGTATTTTTTCATTTATTTTAACAAGCGCAATTTAATTTACCCTAATCCAACTAATTATAATTTAGATAGGTTTACAGTAATTTAAAAATAAACAAACACAATGAAATATATGTTTTTCGTAAGGTTCAGAATGAAAAAAAAAAAAAAACAGAATGATTTTTGCGAAATTATTGCATAAGCAAGATTTACCTATTCGGCACACTAACAGCAGCAGCATTCTAGTAGCAATGACACCCTAGCAGAAGTAGCAATGACACCCTAGCAGAAGTAGCAATGACACCCTAGCAGAAGTAGCAGTGACACCCTAGCAGAAGTAGCAGCATCCAAGTAGCAGTGACACCCTAGCAGAAGTAGCAGTATCCAAGTAGCAGTGACACCCTAGCAGAAGTAGCAGCATCCAAGTAGCAGTGGCATCCTAGCAGAAGTAGCAGCATCCAAGTAGCAGTGACACCCTAGCAGAAGTAGCAGCATCCAAGTAGCAGTGACACCCTAGCAGAAGTAGCAGTGACACCCTAGCAGAAGTAGCAGTATCCAAGTAGCAGTGACACCCTAGCAGAAGTAGCAGCATCCAAGTAGCAGTGACACCCTAGCAGAAGTAGCAGCATCCAAGTAGCAGTGGCACCCTAGCAGAAGTAGCAGCATCCAAGTAGCAGTGACACCCTAGCAGAAGTAGCAGCATCCAAGTAACAGTGGCACCCTAGCAGAAGTAGCAGCATCCAAGTAGCAGTGACACCCTAGCAGAAGTAGCAGCATCCAAGTAGCAGTGGCACCCTAGCAGAAGTAGCAGCATTCTAGTAGCAGTGACACCCTAGCAGAAGTAGTAGCATCCAAGTAGCAGTGACACCCTACCAGAAGCAGCAGCATTCTATTAGCAGTGACACCCTAGCAGAAGTAGCAGTATCCAAGTAGCAGTGACACCCTAGCAGAAGTAGCAGCATTCTAGTAGCAGTGACACCCTAGCAGAAGTAGCAGCATCCAAGTAGCAGTGACACCCTAGCAGAAGTAGCAGTATCCAAGTAGCAGTGACACCCTAGCAGAAGTAACAGCATCCAAGTAGCAGTGGCACCCTAGCAGAAGTAGCAGCATCCAAGTAGCAGTGACACCCTAGCAGAAGTAGCAGCATCCAAGTAGCAGTGACACCCTAGCAGAAGTAGCAGTGACACCCTAGCAGAAGTAGCAGTATCCAAGTAGCAGTGACACCCTAGCAGAAGTAGCAGCATCCAAGTAGCAGTGACACCCTAGCAGAAGTAGCAGCATCCAAGTAGCAGTGACACCCTAGCAGAAGTAGCAGCATCCAAGTAACAGTGGCACCCTAGCAGAAGTAGCAGCATCCAAGTAGCAGTGACACCCTAGCAGAAGTAGCAGTATCCAAGTAGCAGTGACACCCTAGCAGAAGTAGCAGCATTTAGTAGCAGTGACACCCTAGCAGAAGTAGCAGCATCCAAGTAGCAGTGACACCCTAGCAGAAGTAGCAGTATCCAAGTAGCAGTGACACCCTAGCAGAAGTAGCAGCATTCTAGTAGCAGTGACACCCTAGCAGAAGTAGCAGCATCCAAGTAGCAGTGACACCCTAGCAGAAGTAGCAGCATTCTAGTAGCAGTGACACCCTAGCAGAAGTAGCAGCATCCAAGTAGCAGTGACACCCTAGCAGAAGTAGCAGTATCCAAGTAGCAGTGACACCCTAGCAGAAGTAACAGCATCCAAGTAGCAGTGGCACCCTAGCAGAAGTAGCAGCATCCAAGTAGCAGTGACACCCTAGCAGAAGTAGCAGCATCCAAGTAGCAGTGACACCCTAGCAGAAGTAGCAGTGACACCCTAGCAGAAGTAGCAGTATCCAAGTAGCAGTGACACCCTAGCAGAAGTAGCAGCATCCAAGTAGCAGTGACACCCTAGCAGAAGTAGCAGCATCCAAGTAGCAGTGACACCCTAGCAGAAGTAGCAGCATCCAAGTAACAGTGGCAACCCTAGCAGAAGTAGCAGCATCCAAGTAGCAGTGACACCCTAGCAGAAGTAGCAGTATCAAGTAGCAGTGACACCCTAGCAGAAGTAGCAGCATTCTAGTAGCAGTGACACCCTAGCAGAAGTAGCAGCATCCAAGTAGCAGTGACACCCTAGCAGAAGTAGCAGTATCCAAGTAGCAGTGACACCCTAGCAGAAGTAGCAGCATTCTAGTAGCAGTGACACCCTAGCAGAAGTAGCAGCATCCAAGTAGCAGTGACACCCTAGCAGAAGTAGCAGCATCCAAGTAGCAGTGACACCCTAGCAGAAGTAGCAGCATCCAAGTAGCAGTGACACCTTAGCAGAAGTAGCAGCATCCAAGTAGCAGTGACACCCTAGCAGAAGTAGCAGCATCCAAGTAGCAGTGACACCCTAGCAGAAGTAGCAGCATTCTAGTAGCAGTGACACCCTAGCAGAAGTAGCAGCATCCAAGTAGCAGTGACACCCTAGCAGAAGTAGCAGCATCCAAGTAGCAGTGACACCCTAGCAGAAGTAGCAGCATCCAAGTAGCAGTGACACCCTAGCAGAAGTAGCAGCATCCAAGTAGCAGTGGCACCCTAGCAGAAGTAGCAGCATCCAAGTAGCAGTGACACCCTAGCAGAAGTAGCAGCATCCAAGTAGCAGTGGCACCCTAGCAGAAGTAGCAGCATCCAAGTAGCAGTGACACCCTAGCAGAAGTAGCAGCATCCAAGTAGCAGTGACACCCTAGCAGAAGTAGCAGCATCCAAGTAGCAGTGACACCCTAGCAGAAGTAGCAGCATCCAAGTAGCAGTGACACCCTAGCAGAAGTAGCAGCATCCAAGTAGCAGTGACACCCTAGCAGAAGTAGCAGCATCCAAGTAGCAGTGGCACCCTAGCAGAAGTAGCAGCATCCAAGTAGCAGTGACACCCTAGCAGAAGTAGCAGCATCCAAGTAGCAGTGGCACCCTAGCAGAAGTAGCAGCACCCAAGTAGCAGTGACACCCTAGCAGAAGTAGCAATGACACCCTAGCAGAAGTAGCAGCATCCAAGTAGCAGTGACACCCTAGCAGAAGTAGCAGTATCCAAGTAGCAGTGACACCCTAGCAGAAGTAACAGCATCCAAGTAGCAGTGGCACCCTAGCAGAAGTAGCAGCATCCAAGTAGCAGTGACACCCTAGCAGAAGTAGCAGCATCCAAGTAGCAGTGACACCCTAGCAGAAGTAGCAGTGACACCCTAGCAGAAGTAGCAGTATCCAAGTAGCAGTGACACCCTAGCAGAAGTAGCAGCATCCAAGTAGCAGTGACACCCTAGCAGAAGTAGCAGCATCCAAGTAGCAGTGGCACCCTAGCAGAAGTAGCAGCATCCAAGTAGCAGTGACACCCTAGCAGAAGTACATGCAGCATCCAAGTAACAGTGGCACCCTAGCAGAAGTAGCAGCATCCAAGTAGCAGTGACACCCTAGCAGAAGTAGCAGTATCCAAGTAGCAGTGACACCCTAGCAGAAGTAGCAGCATTCTAGTAGCAGTGACACCCTAGCAGAAGTAGCAGCATCCAAGTAGCAGTGACACCCTAGCAGAAGTAGCAGTATCCAAGTAGCAGTGACACCCTAGCAGAAGTAGCAGCATTCTAGTAGCAGTGACACCTAGCAGAAGTAGCAGCATCCAAGTAGCAGTGACACCCTAGCAGAAGTAGCAGCATCCAAGTAGCAGTGACACCCTAGCAGAAGTAGCAGCATCCAAGTAGCAGTGACACCTTAGCAGAAGTAGCAGCATCCAAGTAGCAGTGACACCCTAGCAGAAGTAGCAGCATCCAAGTAGCAGTGGACACCCTAGCAGAAGTAGCAGCATTCTAGTAGCAGTGACACCCTAGCAGAAGTAGCAGCATCCAAGTAGCAGTGACACCCTAGCAGAAGTAGCAGCATCCAAGTAGCAGTGACACCCTAGCAGAAGTAGCAGCATCCAAGTAGCAGTGACACCCTAGCAGAAGTAGCAGCATCCAAGTAGCAGTGGCACCTAGCAGAAGTAGCAGCATCCAAGTAGCAGTGACACCTAGCAGAAGTAGCAGCATCCAAGTAGCAGTGGCACCCTAGCAGAAGTAGCAGCATCCAAGTAGCAGTGACACCCTAGCAGAAGT